TTGTAATTAGGAAGGAAGAAGAAAAGCTATAGATGTAGCATATGAAGGAAACTTGGGAGGATTGATTATTTCTTTGACATATCTTCTTGTATAGTACCTTAAGTATGTATAGGTTTTAAACTACTAACTAATTTGCACACACATATTAACATAATAGGAATACGGTGACATAAACAAAGCAAATCTATAATTACCAGCCATCTCCAGTGAAGCCAAGAAAACCATTTAGGCACCCTAGGCATTTGTGAAAATTTATCTATGATATGATGGATATTTTCCAACTGTACTTGAACCATCAGACAAATTAAAGCAGCCCATTTCTGGGATCTGTTCACATCCCATATGTTCTTTTAACCATAGATAGTCTATAGTCATGAGATTTTGGGGTGCTACAACTTGCACCCCTCCCAACTCCTGGTTGAGTTCCAACAGTACAGATCCAGTCAAATTCGTTGTCTCACTGTATGCACATGCCAGCCTAGACATCTCCCTCCTCCTTCTTATGGCAAGTCCAGGAGATGGTGGGCTGGATGCAGCCACAACCGCAGCATCGTCCGGATCCCTGTGGAGGCTTTTTGATGATCATCCCCCGGCACGAGTCCTCCAGAGAGTGCTGATGCCGGAAGCTCCTCCTCATATCGTATCTTAGTTCATTTTCTGGGTATCCAAGCTAGGCCTTGATCTTCTGCATAGAAACAAACAGACCCTTTGCCCACACTTTGACATGCCCTCTATACCACTGTGCAGAACTCATTGGAGGTCAGCACACAGGGACTGATGCATCCATTATTAACTTAAAAGTTTTATAGCATTTTTCAAAACATTTATTACTTCTAGCATTTTTTTTTAAATTTCTTCATGGTGAAGAAACATACTGGAAGCTAGAATACCTTTATTCTTGCATTCACTTTTTCACTATTCTCCTGGCCTTCCTAGAGAACTTATTAAAGTCATGTAACTTTACTTTTATTGTATTCCCAGCAGCATAGAGTTGATGGTTTCATTTATCATGATCACTTCGTAATGCAGATGAAAGTCTGTCAATGTGTTTATGTGGTTTTTGTTTTTTTGCATTCCACTTAGTCAAATGAGGTACATTTAAACTTGCTTTCTGTGTTTTATTTAAAGGTAAACTATTTTTCTTATAAAGTTAATTAACTAAAAAAACAATGTTTAGTATCATTCACTTAGCCTTTATCTCTCCTTTCCTGCTGTCTTAATCAGATCATAATCATTGTTTAGGAAGGAAGGAAGTTGGAAGGTCGATAATTATATTTTGTCAGGAATGAAATTTATGCATTTTAATAGCTCCCCTCTACCCTGTTACTCCTGGGTTTTATAGCAATATGTTCCACTGTTGAAAAGCTTTGAATTAGTCTGAATTTGGCATTATATTGGGCATCCAGTGGTGAGAACTCACCATTACTGCATTTTGGAAAGAAAAGAGGCACTGTAAGTATTTTGTCCCTCTCCAAGTTATGTGTATTTATATGGATGTGACATATACTTGTATGCTAGTATGAGAGCAAAATTAAACTAATTTCAAGTTCTTAAGTGACTTTAGTGATTGGAAAGAGGTATTTAATTGACATCCCTGGAGACTGAACTCTTTTGTCTGTCCACAGGTTTTTATGGGACTGAATTCTCTGGATGAGAAAAAAAACTCACTCTTCAAGAGGGCAAATAATTTGAGCCAGATGGGATAGCTACTGTAGAATTTGAAGTTGTTACTGTACTGATACAGACTTTTCTGATGTATCTAGTGGCATTTAACATTCAATGTGTGTTATAGGATCCTGATGGAGAAAATGCTCGTAGGGCATTGCAACGAACAGGAGGATCACTTCCAGGAGGACATGTACCCGATATGGCATCGGGGTTGATGAATTTACCGCCTTCCATTCTCAATAATCCAAACATTCCTCCTGAGGTTATCAGTAATTTGCAGGCTGGTAGACTTGGTTCCACAATTTTTGTTGCTAATGTAAGTTTAAGCTGTAGTCTAAAATTTTGTTACTAGACATTTCTAATCATGAGATGGTTTAGTTGATGAATGGGGTATAGGTTTATAGAACCTTTTGCTTATTTTTAATTTAAGTAAGTGAAACAGTAATTATTGTAAACTCAAACCTGAATTAAGTCTATATGTGTAAGGTTAGAGTGTAAACTTAGGATTTTTTAAAAGAACTGTGGAATTTATAAACACAAGCAGTTCTTGAAATTATTTACTTTTATTCTTTGTGATTTTTGTTCAATTGGTAAATGGATCTTTCTTTAGCTTTGATATTTGATATTTGTGAATGTGCACATTGTAGTTGCTTTGTCACTTGTTCTAAGCTTTTGAAAGTCAGTGATATCAACAGTACTTTCCAATATATGAATTTCTCTGAGTAAAAATAGCTGTTCAAGTTTCAAATGTACAAAACAGGACTGAGCAGTTGAGAGACTGTTTTGGGTATTCAGGATATAGATGTAGCTTAACTGATTTAAGCAGCTTAAGATGTTTTTACTTGAATACTATTGATACCCTGTTTAACAAGAATTCTAGTTCTTCATAGTTTTGAGAGATCAGAAAAGATTTGTTTGTATTTGTAAATGGGGAGAGGGGTTTATTAGGTATGTAACAATATAATTTTATGTTAAGCTTGACTTCAAAGTTGGTTGGAAGAAGCTAAAGGAAGTGTTCAGCATAGCTGGAACTGTAAAGCGGGCAGATATTAAAGAAGACAAAGATGGCAAGAGCAGAGGAATGGGCACAGTCACTTTTGAACAAGCAATTGAAGCAGTTCAAGCAATTTGTATCCTGATTTACACTTTAGCAATATTTAATAAGGTTGAAGAAGCTTTACTACTATTTTGTGGGGGTCATGAAATTAAGGTTGCCTGACTTAGAAATGTGTGTTAGACTTTAGTCTCCAGCACAGAAAACCTTTACTATGTCCAAGTACTAAAGTCACTCTTAAAACTTGAATTAGCCATATTGTATAAACCAGTGTAAAGTTTTTCCTACGTTCCCTTCCTACTGCAACTAACTATGTATACCTGCTGTGGACAGTTATGTAATACATTGTACATTAATGCAGTTGATTTAAATGAAGCCTTACTAATTTTATTGTTTCAGTGGTTATAAAAGATTTTAGTTATAAAATAAAACCATAAAGCAAAGAATTGAAGATTTTTCTTTGAGTATATGGAAGATTCCAAAACAAGTAAAACATTAAAGATGTTGATTAAAATATTAGAGATAATCTGACT